AAAGTAAAAAAATAAATGATTGAAATTTTAAATAAATATGATATATAAAATTTATATGTAAGTGAATTTTTACACTTTTATATATATTAAAAAAATACTATTTAATAGCTTTTATTATAAAATTATTTTACTCATTTACCCTTTCCTTAGTTTCTAAAAATAGAGCCTCTTTATTATTGCTAAAATTTATTAACAGATAAATTTTAAAAATAAAAAATAAATGATGATTTAAAATGTAATAACTTTAAATAATGTGGAATAAAAAATCAACTTTGTAAATTGACTATTAAAATGAATTACAGGTAGTACATTTTGTAACCATTACAAACGGGAGCACTCAACATTAAACGCTCACACTAGTCATTTCACTTTTGTGAAACTAAAAGTTTGAAATACTCACAAAAAGAGCACTTTGACTTTCAGGTTTAGTGGCGTTCAAGTGCGTCTAAAATGCATCCTTATCTTCCGATAACTGTTTAAATCCACCCCTTGTAAATTTGTTAAAAAAAAAAAAATACTCCTAAAATACAAAGACTGTTTTGTTAGTTGGGCACACGCTGTCACGTGCTTATCTTCTCCTCCTTTCTTAAAATTAGATAGGAATTTCAAACCCCCGACTATATAATCTCTGCCCATCAATCCAACACCTGCACTCTCCTTTTTCTTCATTCTAGTCCTCAGGAAAAAATTGTTTTTCTGTCATACGTCAGTTTAGTCAATTTAAGGAAAATCTAACCCAACCCAAGAAGGAATTACAGAACAGGGTAATCATCATGGCTAGCCAGATCGACGGAAAGAAGACAGCATGTGTTGTCGGTGGCAGTGGATTCGTAGCTGCTCAGCTGATTATGCTGTTGCTTGAGAAGCGTTACTCTGTTAACACAACAGTTAGGGACCCAGGTTTGGTTTCCTCTTCCTCTGGTCATCTTCTGTTTTAGGGTATTCTTTCTTTTGTAGTTTGGCTTACAGTACCTGAATATGTGCTTCTTGAAGATATGTTTTATGTTGCTTTCATTGTTTTTCACTAGTCCCAACTCCTCCTTTTGTTCCTCATCTTTGTCCTTTCATCCCTCACGAATTTGAGGGGAACTTGTTGTGTCCCATGCTACTAGGTTGCCCTTGCTGTCCAAAGTGCCAATTAATAGAAAGATTTTCAATTTTGACATTGATGGTAGTAAGGGGATAACTAGAAGAAAAAGTGTCAATGGCAAATTTTGGATTTGAGTTTGGTCTTTATTGTGTTCTACAGAATGTCAAGGTGAATGGTCTTAATTAATGCAAAATCTTATTATTGTGCAGACAACCAGAAGAAGATCTCTCACCTCATGGAACTACAAAAGTTAGGTGATCTAAAAATCTTTCGGGCAGATTTAACCGACGAGGGGAGCTTTGATGCCCCGATAGCTGGTTGTAATCTTGTCTTCCATGTTGCTACCCCTGTCAATTTTGCTTCTCAAGATCCTGAGGTATAAAGTCATAGAACTTCATTTTTAACATCTTATACAATCAAATGGTTAGTTGGATTGCTTAATTGTTCTTCTTTATTCCACATGTACTACTTGAGTACAGAATGACATGATCAAGCCGGCAAAACAAGGAGTTGAGAATATTTTGAAGTCCTGTGTAAAATCAAAAACAGTTAAGCGTGTCATTCTGACATCGTCAGCTGCAGCTGTGTCATGCAATACACTTAGTGGCACAGGTATGGTTATGAATGAGAAAAATTGGACTGATGTTGAGTTCTTGGAATCAGAGAAACCGCCTACTTGGGTAATACTTTGATGCCAATACATAGTAGTTCTATACTTCAGAAAATTTCCAGAGAGATTTGAAGTAAACCTTATGCATAAATGCAGGGGTACCTTGTTTCCAAGACGGTAGCTGAGAAGACTGCTTGGAAGTTTGCTGTAGACAATAATATTGATCTGATTACAGTAATCCCTACTCTCATGACCGGGCCTTCACTCACGCAGGATGTGCCCAGCAGCATTGGCCTTGCTACAAGTTTGCTTACAGGTATTGAATTAGAACCCAGAAGGCCAGAGAACACAAGCCATGTAGCTGAAGCAGTGATACTTAAGAAAAAGAAGCACACTAGGTGTCCATGCATTATTGTTAAATGGTGGTTTTAACATTTTGCAGGAAATGAATTCCTCATAAATGCTATGAAAGGAATGCAAATGCTGTCAGGTTCAATCTCCATCACGCATGTTGAGGACGTCTGTCGAGCACATGTATTCTTGGCTGAGAAAGAATCTGCTTCGGGGCGATATATATGCTGTGCTGTAAATACCAGTGTTCCTGAGCTTGCTAAGTTCCTCAACAAGAGATACCCTGAATTCAAAGTCCCCATTGAGTAAGTCACCATCCATAATTTCTGGATACAGATTTCATTTTTACAGAATTGTCTGTTAATTTTACTGTCTCTTGTCAACAATTGCAGTTTTGGAGATTTCCCATCCAATGCAAAGCTAATTCTTTCCTCAGAGAAACTTATCAATGAAGGATTCAGCTTTAATTACGGGCTAGAGGAAATCTATGACCAAACTGTAGCATTCTGCAACGCTAAGGGTATGCTCAAGTGAAGACTGCTCTTTTTTGAAAAACAGCCTTGGAATGAAAACAGATTGATTGACTTAATTCAATCTAGAACCTTCTGCTGGATCAAAGGAAACTCTACCTGTGCTAAGTTCAATTTCGTGGACTGGTGTCAATTCCCACTCCATTGTGCGGTTGATTTTTAACTTATTAAACTTTTAATGTAATGTATGGGTGAGTACCCCTTGTACTCTTTTATTAATAACACTTTTGATTCATCAAAAAAAAAGAAAAAGTGAAGACTGCTCTCAAATGATTTCTGTGGTTGATAGCTTGATGCGTGTTATTCTTCTTCTTCTTCTTCTTCTTTTTTTTTTTTTTGAATAAAAATGGTCATAGCCTTTTATTGATATAAAGTGAGGTAACGCAATTACATTGCACAATTTATCTTTAAAAGAGGCAACTTAGATATTTATAATTTTCATCTGATACTACCAATGTATATATTTACTAAGTACAAGTAACCTGAATAATAGATAAATTAAAAAAAAAAAAAAAACTAAAAAATATAAATGAGCTGTAGCTATTTTCTTGCCTCTTGGACATTAGTTGCATTGGTATAACACACTTGACACCATAGCAACTTGAATTTGAATAAATATGCAACTCAGCATGGCTGGAAATCCATATTGAACCTCCCATCAGGTGTAAAAGTCACCATCCCATCCGCACCAACTATTCCCTTCCTTCCTCTTTCCTCATCCCCAGTCCCAGAACCCCTATCCTTCCTCTTGCCACCAAAGTCCACTTTCCCTTCCCCTTTATTTGGTAAGCTACTCCTTGACACAACCCCACCTCTCCTTCTTGGACCACTATTACTCCGTTTGCCATTTCTAGGCAATAAGAACGCAAGTATTGGTGAAGATAGGCCCCGATAAAATTGTCCTTCCCCTTTTGTACTTCTATTATCCATTATCATATCTAAGTTCCTTTCATTTAGACCCTGCTCCCTTGCCCTTAAGCAACCCATAGAATTAGCAAAGCTTTCCAACAAGCTACGTTCTTCATTCCTTCTCCTCAAACACCTACAAGAACTCTCGGAGATGCCTGAATGCTCCGTAAGCTTCTTTGTTTTGTAGATGTGACAATTTTGTGGGATCCATAACTAAAAATTAACTTTTAATGGCAATAAAAATTAATTTTTAATTTTAATTTTATGTGAAATTTATGTGGCCTATTATAACAAAATTACATCATTATTTTTTAAACTATAACAAAAAAATATCTCAATTAGTTAAATAAAAAAGGAACGAGGGAAAGAAGAAGGGAGGATGGAGCTAGAAAGAAGATAGGGGTATTAAAGGGATTTTAGAGATT